GGGGGGGGGGGGGGGGGGGGGGGGGGGGGGGAGAGAGAGAGAAACTTCCTAATGTTCAAGGTGGCTGCTGTAGGGATATAATCTACAAACACTCTAGGCAATGATACTATGGGCGTTATAAATAGGCTTATAAAGTGCATAAATACTGTATTTACAGTATTTGGTATAAATACTACGTTTATAGCGTTTATATCATGTTTTGGATACATCCTTTTGGGCTCTAATATGAAGCAATGCACACCCCAAATACACGGAAAGAAGCTATCTTCATCATAATATTATCAGTTGCTTGGATTTGCAATGTACGTCTGTCTGGGCTCTGTTTCTTCTTCTGTCTCCCAGTTGATGTTCACCAGATGCTTCCAAACCAGGACCTCTGCCAAAACTGCCCCCCCCCCCACAGATGCAACACACTCTGCAGTCCATCAAATGAGAGGCCAGAAATGGCTCTCCTGGCAACTTTGCTTGTGATATGCTTTTATCTTTAAATTTGAAATGAAAGGCTAATCTCCACCGAGGACATTGTGCTTGGCAAAATTATGCCGTTATCCTGCACTACAGTGGTGACCTTGGGCTTGGAGACAAAGGCTAAGGAGGAAAGAAGGTTGATGAGAAAAACACCAAGGCTCGGTGAGCATCAGGGATCCTTTTCCCCAAAGATCTCTCACCTCAAAGATCAGAGGAATAGAACCTAGCAGGAGACACTAACCTGGCCAAGTGGAGCTCTCCATGGTGCTGATTTGTTTGAATGTGTCTTAGTTCTGCGGTCTCCAAACTTTCCAGATTGGCAGGCTGCTGTGGTGTGTGTGTGTGTGTGTGAAAGAGAGAGTGGCAGGTCCACACGCATGCACAGCTCCATTTGTATGAGCAGTGTGCTCACACCCTCCATTCACGTGAATGGAGCTTTGTGCGCAAGCACTCTCTGTATTCATGCGTGTGAGTGACAGGCATTTATGCGAGGGGCAGGCATTTGCACTCCCACAAGAAGTTCCACTTGTGAGAGTGGAGGGCACTTGCACTCATGCACAAAGCTCCGTTGGCACGAATAGAGCTTTGTGCGCAAACGCAAGCATCCTCTACTCATGGGAGTAGAGCATCAGGCATGCACTTGCCCATTTCTCCCATTTCTCCCATATCCCGGTTTTGAACAGGCTGTGGGCCGGTAAGAGGGGTGGGATTCAAATTTCTTAACAACCAGTTCTGTGGGTGTGGCCTAATTTGTGGGTGTGGCTTGGTGGCCACGTGACTGGCTGGGCATGGCTTGTATGTAAATATTGTAAATATTTATATAACTATTGCATTTTTTAAAATAAAAAAGCAACTTTGACCCCAAATCAGGCAAAGCAAGCAGGCAGGCAGATTGAAGTTGCTCACAGAATCACAGATTCACTTAGAGATCTACCTTTCTGCAATCTGCTACCTGAGCCTGCACTGAAAAATAGAAGCTTCAGTCCTTAGGAAGGTTCAGCTCTGCTCTTAGATTAGCTACAAAGCAAGAAGTCCAACGATTTCCTGCTTTCTAGCTAATCTAAATCTCCCAGCACAATTGATAGCAAACGCAAGCAAGTTAGATGGCACGCATGCCAGGTAAAGAGTGAGTGGGTGAGGCGGGGCGGGGCGAGGCAGGGTCAACCAGTGGTGCCACTTGCCGGTTCTCTGAACTGCACAGAACTGTAACAACTGGTTCTATAGAACCGGAACAACCCGTTCAAATCTCACCCGTGGCTGGCAGTGGGCTGCGGCCTGGGGTTTGGGGATGCCTGCCTTAGTTTCTTTACTATACGTTTCCGAACAGAAATAACCAACTCTTCGTTTTGCAAACGATCTCCCAAGAAGCCTTATCATGTTAGGCCAAGGCAGTGTTCTTCATTTGGTTGGGGCTTTGCTTGGGTCTGATTCTGCTTTCCAGGCCACAGATAGCATGGCTTACCTCTGGTGCGATAGGACACCACAGCCACTGTGAGGTGGACTTCATCCTGGTACATGTCTGGGGAGGAACTAATGGAATAGTAACGGGGTTGAAGCAAAGGGAGTTGGGTTAGCAGGAGGGTTGAAGGCATCTGCACGGATGGGAATTCTTGCAGCACTTCTACCATGGTGGGGTTTTTCGACCACTTCCATTCCTCATAATCCTGAAGACCCTGTGCGAAAGAAAGGAAGGAAGGAAGGAAGGAAGGAAGGAAGGAAGGAAGGAAGGAAGGAAGGAAAGGAAGGAAGGAAGGAAGGAAGGAAGGAAGGAAGGAAGGAAGGAAGGAAGGAAAGAAAGAAAGAAAGAAAGAAAGAAAGAAAGAAAGAAAGAAAGAAAGAAAGAAAGAAAGAAAGAAAGAAAGAAAGAAAGAAAGAAGGAAAGAAAGAAAGATGTGAGTTTATCTCCAGGCAAAAAAAAAAACCAAACAAACCCTGGAGCTTCCTTTGTTGAGTAGAATCCTTACAGCCAGATTATCCACTCTGAACAAGATCTTCTCAAAGGGATCAACAAGAGACATGTCCCGAAGCAGACAAGAGGCAAGCACAACTCCAGTGTGCGCTACATCTGAAAGAAAAATGCTTTACCCTACTTTATCTTCCAAGAATCTGACTTAATCCTCTTTTAAAGCTACCCCACATCTTGGCTCCGTTCCCACAACATGGACTGGCATTCGAGATATGAAATGGGAGCTTCCAAAGAACAAGGGACCAGCAAACATTTCAGCACTGAAACATCAAAAAGTTGAACAAATCATTCTGTTGCTGATCCTTCCATCTGGGGAGGTAGCTTTGCATAATTACAACAACCAGCAACTCAACTTGGACAGGTCAACGAGGAATATTATGTGGGTACCACACCTTTGGGCCAGTGAGAAAAAGAACTAGACATAAGGACAGTTTTTCCCCATCACTCTGCTAAACAACTCATTACCACAACGCTGTCAAATTACTTAGTAAGACTGTATTACTATTCTTCTTCTCATCCTTCCCATTACCTATCTCTTCCCACTTATGACTATAACCGGGTTGCTTGTATCTTTACAATTTATATTGTTTTATTTGTTTTCCTAGTATGTTTTGATTGCTTATAACCTAGGGCTATCACTAAGTGTTGTATCCTATGATTCTTAATGAATGTATTTTATTTTTTCTTATGTACACTGAGAGCATATGCACCAAAGACAAATTCCTTGTGTGTCCAATCACACTTGGCCAACAAAAGGATTCTATTCTATTCTATTCTATTCTATTCCATTCCATTCCATTCCATTCCATTCCATTCCATTCACATGTACCATTTTGAACCCTACATTATATATTTTCCAGCAGTTTTGTACAATACCTCGGCCTATAATCTGTTTCTGGGTTTGCACAAGATTCTTAATGACAACATAGGCAGACACTGGTTTAGTTTGGAGTTTGATGGAAGTGAAGCCACAATTTATTACACCTGGATACCGTAAACCTTTCTGCTGAGATTTGCACTGTGACTTTTGACCCAAAGCATGCAGATTTCATAACTGTGTCAAAACACGTGTCACTCATGTCCACGGAACTATTTTCCACGACTCCATGCATTTTCATAATGGTTCTGTTTTGCGAATGGTATCCTTTGCGTGATGATGTCATCACACGGATGACATACATACCCAGCCACGCTCTTTTCTAATTTACGGGCATTCATCCCATCTCATAATTAGTCCATTCAATCAAGACGTCACTGTAAACTTAGAAAATGGATTCCTCCCGCTCCCCAAATTGGGTGAAGACAAATTATCCCAGGAGGCATGATGGATGAGATGGAAGACACTTTTGCAAAGTGGCAGCTTAAATCAGGTCAGACAAGATGGCCTAATTATGCATAATTAATAATAATAAGGCTTAAAATTACAAAGGGCACTTCTGAATTGCTTCTAAAAATACTGTAGTTATTAGTGAGTAGTTTTGCATGAAAAAAATTTATGACTATGTGATCATATTATTATTTTAAAAATCTAAGTTATTCTATAGAAAATAGGTGAACAGAAAGAACTAAGATAGTGCTTGACTTACAACATTCGTTTAGTGACTGAAAAAAGTGACTTATGATCGTTTTTCACACTTGTGACCATGTAGCATCTCCCATGGTGACATGTGACCCTTTTGTGACCCTCTGACAAGCAAAGTCCATGGAGAATCCAGATTCATTTAACAACCATGTCACTAAATGACCAAATGCAATGATTCACTTAAAAACTGTGTTATTAACAAATATAATTCTTCACTTAACAATGGTGGCAAGAAAAGCCGTAAAATGGGGCAAAACTCACTGAACAAATGTTTCACTTAGCAACATAAATTTTGGGGTCGTAACTCGAGGACTACCTGTATTCCCCAAGAAAATTATTCAAAATAAAATAAAGAAAAAGAGTCAAAGGATCATCTCCCCCAGTGAACAAAACCAACAAATAAAACAAAGAAGAACCAAAATAAATTAAAAAAAGACAGACATCTAAATTATATCCTTTAAAAAGACACCATCTTAATTTAATGAAACAAGTAAAAGACAAACAAACCCCCATTAAAATTATACAACTTTCTCCAGTTCCTTCCTCGTGGCCCCATTTTTCAACAGTGTATTAAATCTAGAGCAGAGTTCGAGAACGGAGTTTCTCAGTCTTGCCGACTTACAGATGCGTGTGGACGTAGGCTCTCGGAATTCTCCAGCCAGCCCTGAAGTCCACATGTTTGAATGTAGCCGATGCGGGAAACGTGGGCGCAGACATGCTAAACCACGAATGTCCCAAACTTGGCCACTGTAAGACTCATAAGACTTCAACTCTCAGAACGCTGGCTGGGGAATTCTGGGAGTTGAAGTCCACGAGTCTGAGTGGACAAGTTTGGATATTCTAAATTATCTAAATTATCGCCCAGATGCTCTGGACATTGTGGAAGAGAGGGAGCTAACCAGGGGTGGGATTCAAAAATCCCAGCAACCGGTTTGCTGCCTGGTTGCTGGGTGGGCATAGCCATGGTGGGTGTGGCCTACCAGAACTTCCGGGAGGGTCATTTTTTGCCTTCCCCAGGGTCCGGAGGCCCTCCAGAAGCCGAAAATAGGCCTGTTCCTGAACTTCCGGTTTGACGAACCAGGTGTAGATTTAATATCCGGTTCACCTGAACTGGTCTGAACCGTTTGAGTCCCATCCTTGGAGCTAACCAAGTTCCACACTGTCCATCTTCACCGCTGTCTTACCATGCTAAGAACTTGTAGGCGCTTCTTCTCCTTCTCGTCGGTGGCCAGTAGGGCAAACTGCTGCAGCAGAATGGGTGTGGGAGGGGTAGTGATGTCCAGGTAATATTTGAATGCTTGGAATATGGTACAAGGAGGGATGCGGTTCTCTTCGGTCCAGTTGCTGATGGTACCTGAAGATTCAAACCCCATGTCACAAGTTCACGTTAGGTCCCGCTTTGGAGACCCTCGCGTGCCTTAGAGCCCTGTATGCACGGAGGATGTTACCTAGCGTGGTAAAAAGAACATCTGCAGGAATGCAACCAAGTGCAGAGACTACCAAGATCCTTGCGGTTCAACCCTGAGCTACAGATATCTGTTGCTACTGGGCCAGTTCTGGCCTTCCAGTTGGGAATCACTGATGCTGTAGAGAGAGTGAAAGGAACAGGGGTCTCTTATTAAAAGAGAGGGGTGTTGTCTGCCTTTTAGAATTTCCTCTAGACTAGGTGCATGTCTCTTGTGCATGAGCCATGGTGGCACAGTGGCTAGAGTGCAGTACTGCAGGCTACTTCTGCTGACTGCTGGCTGCCTGCAATTTGGCAGTTCAAATCTCACCAGGCTCAAGGTTGACTCAGCCTTCCGTTCTTTCGAGGTGGGTAAAAGGAGGAGACCCAGATTGTTGGGGGCAAGAGGCTGATTCTGTAAACCACTTAGAGAGAGCTGGAAAGCATGGTGAAGCGGTATATAAGTCTAAGTGCTATTGCTATGGCTATCAGACAAACGAGCAAATTAATCTGTTATGACAATCCAAGACCAAATCACCACAGTTAAAACAACCAGAAATAAATTGAGAATACCAGAACATCTCAACAATTAAATAAGAGGCCTATTTTGGTCATTGGATCTCAACATAATAAAATATTTATGACTTGGGTGTTGATTTTAGCTGTTGTATATGTGAACTTTTAGGAAAAAATTCCAAATTGGCTTGAATGGCCAGGTGAGTTTATCTATGATATTAAAGGTTGAATTAGTTGGGAGCAAAGTTTCTTGTCAGATCTATGACTCAGGACAACCAGTTCTAAGGTTTCATTTTCAAAGTATAAGGGGATATAAAAATGTTGGCTGATGATATTGCTATGCATCTCCATTCTAGCAGTTTTTTTGTGAAGAAAGTTTGAAAATATCATGAAAGTAAATGGAAAACATTTGAGCCGTAAGTAATAAGAGACTGGCTATGTTTCCACTTAAAGAGATGGGGGGGGGGGGAAATAAGAAAAAACATGGATTCATAACAAATAAACCCACATCAAAGAAGATTTACAAAGAGAAAATTAATGGCGAAACAAATCGTTTTCCTTGGTGCAGAATTTATATCCTTATTTTTTTTAAAAAAATAGTTAAGTATGTTTTTTTAATTTAAAACAATGAGGCATAACTGATCTTTTATTTGGACTGCATATGAAATAAGCAACTACTATGACAAACTCCCATTCTGATAATAATTGGGCAATATTATTACTACCATCCTTAAATTTCTCCTTTTGGAACGGGAGATGTTACAAAATTAATTTTAATGTTAGCAAAACCTGAGGCCAAATCTTCCGGATGGTTTGTTCTTTATTTTTCAACTGCTTTTATTCTTTTTTTTTTAAAAAAAGTATTCTTTAGTTATGTTCTTTTTTAAAAAAAAAAAACTTCTTAAACAAAGACAAAAAGAATGACACAAGGGCTTCCCACCTAAAGCTGTAGTTCTCTCTTCTAGAATTTCGAGTTTTACTAGCTGGTTGGTGGGCGGGGCATCCTCCAGCCTTTCAATCAAGGTGTTGACCAAATCTTCATGGTTTCCCGGAAATACTCCCAGGTGGTCCCCGGGCAGGTAACGCAACCCCTGCTGGCCGTTTGTGTGAAGCCGCAAGAAAATGGTGGAGCGGCTAGAAAGAAGGGAAGGTTCAAGAACACACTGTCAGTCTTCAAAACCAAGAAAGTCACACTGAAAAGCACACAGAATAACAGAGTTGGAAGGGACCTGGTAGGTCACCTAGTCCACTCAAAACAGTTCCCTTTATGGTCCCTCACCTATGGACAGAAATCTTGAGAAATTAAAGCAACTACTTCTATTATTGAAGATACACTCCGAGAATTGCTAAGGCGGAGTTTTCTTTACTCTCTTCCTCCCAACCAAACGATCTGAGTTTGCTGTCTTCTTGGTCTTCTGGAATGCAGCTCCTCCCTCTTGGGAATCCAGACTGCATTCCACCACACGCACATAAACATTTCTGTGTTTACACACCGCCTATGGCAGAGTTTAAGGAGTTACCATATTCTCCTTTATGAATATACTAACTCTATACTTGTGCTTCGCTATGAGACAATGTGGTCGGGCTTAGTTTTTGGGAAGGAAAATAAGGGGGAAAAATTCTGTCTCTGCCTCCCAGCATCCATGGTTATTCATCTGGCTAGCGTCCAGTCAGTGTGTGAGAGAGTTGAGGGCTGTTTGGAAACTGAAACAGTTACTTGCTGTGTGAGCAAGAAGGAGACAGCAAGGAGCCTGGGCGTGGCTTAGCTCAACTGTTCTGTACTAAAGCTGCTTGGTACTGTAAAACTAAAACTGAAACTCCTCCCCTCTGCTTGTGTTTTGCATTTGGAACATATTTTTTTTCAGGTGGGGAGGGGGAGTTGAACTCCTTAGCATCAGAGCGTGTTGATAACAATAATATAGGAAATACTAATAGCTCTGATGGTCACTTCAAAAAATCCTTTCTTAGTGAGCCCCAGAAGCCAAGAGGAACAGAGGTGCCAAATTTCAAGATTGTAGGCTTTACGGTTCTAGAGATTTTGTGATGAGGCTTCTATATACACAGACGAACACTATACAGAAGCCTGATGGTGGCAGATGAGATTCTGCCGAAACGTTGCTACAACTTTAAAAGCACAACTATAATGACGTGGGAAAAGACCCAAACAAAGCTGAATATACATATACATACATACATACATATACATATATAATTTATTTATTATCTCTGGTCTGTAACAATCAATCTTTTGCTTGACCCATGTCTAATGATAGCTAAACATTATCTTCCTATTCAGAGGGAAGAGCACCACTGAAGACTCATTTTGTGGAAATAATAATGACACAAGATATGGTTTTGTGTCCCATTGGAGAGGCTCCAATTTACCACTTTTGGGAGGGGGAAAGAACCCATGGAGTAGGAGTCCTTGCAAAGCTCTTGATATGTTCTTTTTGGAGTAGATCATTTCCTACCTGGATTTGGGGCTTTGGAGATTCTGACGGGCCAGCAGCCGAGCGGCGTAAACTCGTTTTTTGTGGATGCTGTATAAACCTGGGAAGGAAAGAGGAATCAAAAAGCACAACAAAGAAGGTTCTTTCTGTGCCAACTCAAAAAGCTCAAACTGCCCAAAAGGAGCTGCTGATCTAGTTCTACAGAGGAAGGATTGAGTCTGTCATCTGAACCTCTATAACTGTCCGGTTCGGTTCTGCAACCCAACAGGACAGACACAGACTCCAGAGAGGAATTAGGACTGCAGAAAAAACAATGGCTACCAACCTGCCTTCCATCGAGGATCTGTATACTGCACAATCCAAAAAGAGGGCTGTGAAAATATTTACAGACCACTCACATCCCAGACATAAACTGTCTCATAAAACATAAACATTCCCCAGTCTCCTTCCTTGGGAAAAGGACGTTTTTAGATCTTTTCTGTAGACATGTCTTTCAAAGATCTCGCGGCTTGGGGGCTGAGTTGATGCTCGGGGTTGTTGCTAATGGTTGTTGTTTTCTGTTTCACACCCTTCTATCACTCCCCCTTTCTCGATTGTCGACAGTATCTAACTTGGAAACCACACAAAGAGGTTTCCTCACAATATCCTCCAACGGGACTCAATGGAAATGTGACAAGCTTGCTGGCCACTGTAGGTAATAAGCGAAGAACAGACCCTCACATGTTCTTTCTGTCCTGTGGGAATGCCATTCTGTGGGAATGCTACAACAGACTCATCTGGAAGACAAAGGCAATTGGACTTTCTGGATTTTTTTTCTTTGAAGACGTTTCGCTTCTCATCCAAGAAGCTTTTGCACCTCTGACTAAAGATGGTGGAAAAGGGAAGTATTTATACTCTGTGCAGACAGCTGGTCATTTGCATCCTTTTAGAAGGTCGTTGAGGCCACTTGGAGGTTTATCTGTGTCCTCAGGGTCACCTGAGTCATGAAAATGGGTGTGGAGCCTTCTTGGACTGTTGAATGGACTGTATTGTAGACTACAGATAGATGACTGGATTGTGGATGATGGTCATTGGTGGTCAATAGCTATCTTTCCATCCCCACCACCTCCCAGTCAGAGCGGAAGAAGCTTCTTGGAGGAGAAGCGAAACATCTTCAGGGAAGAACCAGAAAGTCCAAGTTGCCTTCTGAAAAAAAAAAGCATCTTTGGGACAAACATGGATGACGGAGAATCTTTCATAGACACCGGGAAGACGGCATCTTTGGGAAGCCCGGAAAGGTACCTTGGGTCAGCTCTGGGGCCTCAGCCACGTAAGTCAGACGGAACTTGCTTCTCTTCCAGCTACGGTCGTTGCTGATGAGAGAGTTGTTGGCTTTTTCGATGTTGACGTCATCTCCCACGCAGAACACATCACATGCTGCCTGCAGGACACACCAAGCACTCAAGGAAAGGCCAGGAAAAGGGGAGGGGGTATCTTACCAGGATATCCCTCCCCTCTCAAGCAGGGCGGGCAGGTGAGACTTAGGGAGGTAGCGACACAGCGCCAGCAGAGTTGAAGACTAAGGTAGTCCTCAACCAATGACCGTAACGGAGCTTGACCATTAGTCATGATGGTTATAAAGAGGTTCATCACGAGACCCAATCCAATTTTATGACTGTTTTGTGGTGGTCATTGCAGCTGTAAGGCAAACATCGCAATTGTTCTGTGAGCCGATTGTTTGCTGTAGGTGTTTTTGCCAAAAAGTAGAAGTATGCACCAGTTTTTGGCAAATACATCATAAGTCATGGTCAGGCGAGTTGTAAGTAACTTACAAGTGGGTTGTAAGTAACCCTGAGGAGATCCGTCATCGCTAAGCAACCAGTCATATGTTGAAAACTACCTGTAGCTCTTGATCGTCACTTTCAAAGGGATTTCCCTGTTGGGTTGGGTTGGACTTTTTTTTTTTTTCATTAACAAGAGATGGACTTAAATTTCAGGAAAATAGATTCCCGATGAAAGTTATCATTCTGGGGTCAACTTATAAAACATTCCTACCCGTGTTTCCGAGTTGCCATGATAGGGAGGAGAGAAAGACCTGAAGGAACACAGGGCAAATAAAATCAGAAGCACATTCCAAGCTTATCTTGCAAAGATTGTAACTTAGGCGACCAGGTATTCTGCCCACAAAAATTCTTTATTGGAGAAAGTGAATGATAGCCAGCCCATGAATGTGTTTCATTGGAGAAGCTGAATTATGATACACCCAGGGGGATTTGGGAAGACAAGGTCATAAGTGATTGTAAATTATGTGTCTCAGAGTTGGCTTCATACAGGCCATGCCGGCATGTCACTCCAAATAAATCCTTTGAAGTTTTTTGAAGTTTGGCTCGAGGCTTATGATTTAATTAGGGTGATTGCCGGAATTCTTACAGCAGACTAATGACAAGAGCTATCAGGGGTGAAAGACCGGATCCAAACCTGAAAGTCCAATTAAACTTATTAATTAAGCCAATTAATTTATTGCTAATTTTGTCCGTGCAAAAAAAAAATTCTCAGCTATTGGGTAACACCTGCTTGGGGTTAGATAAGCATCCATGGGAATTCAAGACAGGCTGGATTTAGTTCACTTGTGGCTATGTAGGGATTCTAGGCTAGTTCTTCTTTTGACTCCACCTCCAGTTTTTGCCAATCCTTCTGCTACAAGTGTAGTTCAAACAACGGAAACAAACGGCCAGGGACACAGGACACCTTCCCTAAATGAGTGCAGGGAAGAGTTAGGCAATTAGCTAGGCAATTAGTAGTCTCAGATTTATTTATTCATCAGATTAATACACCGCCCATCTCTGCTGTCTGAGCAAATGCATGAATTGAATTGCATTAAGCAGACTGGGATTTGACGAGTTGTTCTTACGCTGGGGTTCTTACTCGCTCGTTATTCTATTATCAGGAATCAAGAAGAGTTAAGCTTGAAGCTAGAAGACTATGGGAAATCATTCACTCTTTCTTCAAAGAGCTGAAAGGAGGTTACATAGAAGATCAAGACCTCTTCGTTCTCTTTCCAGGGTTCAGGACATGAAATAATGAACGATTCAAAGGATGATTCAGACTCAATAAAAACTCCCTCGCAGCTTGATAAGAGAACCGATTATGCAGGGAGAAGCTGGTTTCAATTAACGCAGCCTTCAAGCAAAGGTTAGAGTCTCAACCGTAGGGAGTTCTTTCATTTGGGTTCCTACAGAGAGCAGGAAGTTAGGGTTTTATGGGGGCTGGGGGTGAAAATCTGCCCCGATCATTGTGGCGTAGAGACTGATGGACCCTCTTCTAAATCACCTCCTCTCCTAGATACCCGAACAAGGAACAGCCGTTAAATGTAGGTTACCTTGAAGACTTTCTTGGCCCACGTTCTGAAGGATTCCTCCTGACCACACAGTTCATCCCCCTCGCCCATCCTCAGGATGCGTTCCCCTCCCAGCTCTTGCAGGAGGGTGTCCACAGCACGGGCAAAGGCGCAGAAGTGAGGGTAAGCTCGTGAGCCCAGCCCAAAGACAGAGAACCTGCAAGGAAATAAGCCAAGGCACGAGTGACTACAAGCTTCTGGCGTCTAAGCAGAGCCAACATGGAGGCAGGAAGGTTGCAGTTGGCTTCTACAGCCAAAGTCATGTTATCTATGTCTCCTCCTCCTCCTCCCCCTCCCCCTCCCCCTCCTCCTCCTCCTCCCCCTTTTCTTCTTCTTCTTCCTCCTCCTTCTCCTCCTCTTCCTCCTTCCCACTCCTCCCCCTCCCCCTCCCTCCTCCTCCTTTGCATTTCTGGCAAACGCCTCCCAGACTCCAACCCCACATCCGTATCATGAGAAGTGGTAACAGGACTAAGTAAGGGATTGCTAAGACTGGCCGAAGAATGGTCTGGCTTTGTGTCACAGGACTACTACAGCAGCCACGAAGGCCATCTTGGGTCACCCTCAGATGGCCTGGCTACAGGGGCTCGGGTGGAATTGCGACAGGCCCAGCAAGCTGGCCACGGATAATACATTGCTACAGAAATTACAAGGGGACATGAAAGGGCTGATCCAACACAAACCACAGGGGGAAAATTATGGATGAACATCTCAAAGGGCCCGTTCTCCTCCCCGCCCAAGTTGGCTCCTGAGGCTGGATTTGTGCAGCCACTTGTAGTTCTTCTGCTCACCTGACATTGGCCAGTGGACCAGCGCTCTCAAAATTGTCCCTGGCTTCAGGTCCATCGGTAGAGGATCTCTGGGCATCCGAATATGAGGAGACACTGTTGAAGCGCACTTTGTAGCTTCTGCAAACAGGGCAGAGAATTAAAGCTACCAGGGACGGAAGGAGAGTCAACACTAGGCTATCCTTTGTGAGTGTATTCCACATAGATATTCCCCTGTTAAGGTCCAGAAATGTACAAAAATGTATAAGAGCTGTGCTGGCGCAGGGATTAGAATGCAGTATTGCAGGCTAACTCACTGCCAACAGTTCGATCCTGATTTGCTCAACGTTGACTCAGCCTTCCCTCCTTCCAAGGTGGGTAAAATGAGGACCCAGATTGTTGGGGAAAAGAGGATGACTGTGTAAACTGCTAAGTGCTATTGCTAAAGGCCTATGATTAAATTTTCTCACTTAAAATTTTGATAGATGATAGATAGATAGATAGATAGATAGATAGATAGATAGATAGATAGATAGACAGACAGACAGACAGATAGATAGATACATAGATAGATATAGATATAGATATATATGGAAAGATATATATGGAAAGATATACATTTGCAAGAGGCTTTAAAGCAAGACAGGAGTGAAATAAATCTCATTTCACTGTCCTATATCTATGGGGTGCAAAACTCACTTTTGAACAAGACACCAGTACTTGCATGCCATTAAAACAGGAAGGTGAACTGGGACAAAACTAAATTTGATCCATTTTCTGAGACTCCAACTCAACCAAAAACGCATTTGGTTAAGATTATTAACTCTCCAGTCATAGTTTGGATAATTTTTTTCCCTTCTGCCACATTAAATGTTACAAACTGGAAGTCCCTGGGGCTTTCTTATTTGGAGGCAAGCATTCTTGAGGAGGTGAGTGTAAGAATGTTTGACGTTTCTTTAAAACAGTTCCATCCTCTCCAAATTCTAAGGGCACAAGGCCCACGAAAACAACCAAAGACAAAATCATTATAAACTGTCAAGAATATATTAGGCTTTTAAAAAGAAAGAAAGAAAATGCAGCAAAATAGAAAAAAAGAACAGCAAAAAGGAAAAAAGAGTTGGCTGAAGAAACTAAGGGAAGAAGAAATGCAGTACAAACCTGACATCTAGTGGCAGAACAATGTAATTATTATATACTTTTTAAAAATTCATAGGCTAAATTTGCACATTATTTACTATTCTTGGGCCTACTGGTTGCATTTGTACAGCGTATGATTTGATTGCTTATTGTATCTATGACTATTATAAATTGTTGTACCTTATGATTCTTGACAAATCTATCTTTTCTTTATGTATACTGATAGCACATGCACCAAGATAAATTCCATGTGTGTACAATCACACTTGGCCGATAAAGAATTCTATTCTATTCTATTCTATTCTATTCTATTCTATTCTGCTCTTATTCCATTTCATTCGGCTCTAAATTCCATTCTGCTTCTATTCTACTCTACTCTACTCTACTCTACTCTACTCTACTCTACTCTGCTCTGCTCTGCTCTACTCTATTCTATGTGTCTGTTTCCTGGAATCAGGAAAGTAGAGGTGGTTTTTTCCCCCAAAGAGGAGAAAACTGTCATTTCCAGTTGCCAAATCCCAATGTAATTAGTGCTCACCTATCTTGATAAGGAAAGAAATCTTACAGTAAGTTCTGCTGTTTCTGTAACCTCAACTTATTGTTTTGCAAAGTGCGGCTTCTTCTAATGAGTCCCAGACAGTAAGCTGTCTAAGCAAGTCATGTAATCGAACGGAGTCGATTTGCTTAAACTCCTTGGCTGTTAGCAAAGTGCAGAGTCTACCAGCTGTAATTACAACCTTTGCAAGAGTTATTTTAAGATTTTTCTATCTGCCAACAAAAGAGATGTATCCAACTCTTCTGCCCACCCAGGATTCTGCAAACTTATGGGAGTGGACTGCAACTCTTATAACCCCAGCAATAGGCCAGCGCTTAAGAAGGAAGTATGGAAAAAAATCAAAGAAATGGCTCCAAGTTGCAAAGGAATACTATTAAGTAATCTCATTAAATTAATTTACCTGCTCTCTTCTAGGTTGGAGTTGGGGTTTTTCATCTCCATCAAGGCACACCCGAATTTCTGAGGGACAAAGAAAAGAAAGAGGCTTCCCATTAGGGCCACGGACCCCTCAAAAATAATTCAGAAAACGTGCAGCAGGCTTCAGGCAGTTGTTATCCTCCTGCCGCTAATTAAAAACTTCCTGTCATTTCTCCAGCATTCACAGCAGCCTAAAGGGGAGGTTGTGGGAGGGGGGCTGTTTTAAGAAACAGATTGATCAGAATGAATACAACTCTTAGAACAGCTGCAAGATTATTATTTTTTTCTTCCCAGGTCTGAAAATAAAAAAAAAATAATTTTTTTTTTGAAAAGACCAGCTTTGCAATGGTCCAAACTGATTTTTTCAAAACGTGCGCTTAGCCCAGGGGTGTCAAATTCAAGGCCTGTGGGCTGCATCCAGACCGTGGGGTACTTAGATCTGGCCCACACGGCTGGCCTGGAAACAGCAAAGGACTGGACCGTGGTGCCTCTGCCGGCAAAAATGGAACTGGGTTTATTTTTATTTTTTACATGTACTTCCCATGCCCCGTTTTCAGCCATGATGGGCTCCTGCAGCCCTCTGCCTTTTCGCTGGCGGAGGGCTGGCGAAAGAAACTAAAAAGAAAACAAAAGGAGAGATGTTTGCATTTGAGCATGCAAGAAGGGACAGGAAGGGAGAAAGGGAAAGATAAAGAAAAAGAAGGGAAGAGGGGAAGAGAGCGAGGAAGGAAAAAGAAAGGAGAATAAATAGGGAAGGAAAAAAGAAAAGGAAGGAAAGAAGTAAAGTAAGGAAGATTATAATGAGAGTGGGGGTGGGGTCTCAGGGAAGTCCTGCCTTAGCACTTGGCCACCACAGCCCCACCCTCCCAACATGAGTGACGTCATGCCCACCTTGACCACGTCCACCCCCGGCCCTCCGAGGTCAAACACAACCCTGATGAGGCGCTCAATCAAATCGAGTTTGATGCTCCTGGCTTAGTACGTATATCAATGTTTCCCATTCTTAAGAAGTGTGGACTTCAACTCCCAGAATTCCCCAGCCGGCCATGCATGACAGTCCACACGTCTGAAAGATGCCGAGATTGGAAAACATTTGACCAAAAACCAAACAGAGACCATCAGCACATTGTAAACTGTGTTTAGCGTGCACCTCTGGGCAAGTCGGTGCATTTTGCCAGTTCAGCTTATCAGGGGAGCTGCTGGCTCGACATATTGCATAAACCTAAGAAATTAGGTCAAAGCAGTAACCCAAATGAAATATAGCTGTGCAAAAACAGCTGGGGAAGGGATGGCCTAACTATCGAAGGTGGCTTTAATTCGGGAGTCCCCAAACTTGGCAACTTTAAGACTTGTGGACTTCAACTCCCAGAATTCCTCGGGCAGCTTATGCTTGCTGGAGAATTCTGGGAGTTGAAGACCACAAGTCTTAAAGTTGCCAAGTTTGGGGACTTCTGGATTAGGCAGAATCAGCTGGTTGAAATAGATGCAATTCGGTGGCTACCAGAGGTGGTATTCATCTGGTTCTGACCAGTTCTGGAGAACCGGTAGTGGAAATTTGGAGTAGTTCAGAGAACCGGCCAATCCCACCTCTGACTGGCCCTGCCCCCATCTCTTCTCCACCTCCCATTGAGTCCCAGCTGATCGGCTGGGTCTCCTTTGGTTGCCCTGCCCAGGAGAACAGAGCAGGAAAGCAGGTTAGTGGGATGGGGAGGGAATGGGGATTTTGCAGTATCCTTCCCCTGCCACACCCACCAAGCCATGCCCACAGAACCAGTAGTAAAAAAAATTTGAATTTCCCCCCATTGCTCCCTTCCTACCTCTCCATTCTCCGGAGGGTCTCCATTGCCGAAGGTGCTCGTGACCACCAGAACCAGGGTCTCATGTTCCAGGTGAACAGTGTCATACTCATCCATCGACATCACCTGGAAAGAGAAAAGTGGTAGCTTCAGGAGAACAAGCTTTGAAAGCCACCAACGGCAACTGATCAGGTGGCCTCCAGAAGTTGCAGTTGGTGTTGCATCCCTGGAGGTTTTCAACAAGATACGTGAACAGCTGTTTGTTCAGAAGGGTATGAGGGCAGGGGGCCGGATGAGAAGACCTCCATCGCTAGCATTCTGTAACTGCAAATATGCACCGATATGGACATTTGTGTGCGACAGTTGGGCAATTGCCTTTTTCTTCCCAGGAGTCCTTGGGAGTCTAAAAGCACAAAATCACAGAGAACGGCCTGCCAGATGGCGACATGCTATTTAAAAAGTAGCTGGCTGCCCTCTGTCACTTCCCCCTTTTTTTCCTTATGATTCAAAAGGCCATTTTTTAAAAGCGCCCTTTGCATCTGCAATCTTTTCTTTTGCCTGTCAAATCAGGAGATCCAAGCAGTTCAAATAAGCGTAAAGATTTATTGCAAGCGTAAGCTCTCTACAAGAATCTGAACCACTGACAGTCAAGGGAAATGAGCGGGAGATAAGAAGGAAAATTCAAGGCGGGCTGGATTTAGGTCTCTTGTGGGAGCGAAGGGACTCGTGACTGATGATGCCTTTGACCCCTCCCTCAGTCTCAGGCTGGTCATCTCCTACATCGCCAAATGAAACAAGTGGTGAAATTCACTTTGGAGGAAATACAAACTAACTCTGGGAATTGAGAGGCATTGAGACGGCATTGTCAACATTGCAGGTGCTTTTAATTGATCTAAACAATTAATTAAACAATCTCAAAAGGATGGTTGTCCAAAACACAACGTGTGGATTTTCAAGGCTGGTCTAGGAGAGTTTTGTATTTCAGACTCAAAGAAATTTTGGGGCAGCTCTGAACTTGTTGGGAGTGGCAGTGTTTGTTGGGCCACTCACTCTTGCAGTCTCTGGTGATTTTGCTCAAGCCAGTTGAGATGCTTACCTTGGCGTCAAAGGCGTGCTTGAAGATTTCACACAGCGTTTTTGCATAGACCTGGGATTTCCCTGTTTCTGTGGCGTAGAGGATGGTCGCCTTGACTCTCTTTGCCATTGCTTGTCCCATCAGCTTTGCAGAGAACTTGACTGCTCTGTGTGGGAGATGAAAAGGAAAAAAAAAATTATGGCTTTGGAAACGTCTCCTGAGCATTATACCACTGCGCTGGTGAGGACACTCTTGGGATACTGTTGTCAGACTGCCCATAACTTGAACCCCTGACTAAAAATGATCCTTGGCTCCATTTAATGAGAAAGGCATAGTTTTATCAGAGATCAAATGTATAGCCAGGACTGAGAAATGTGTGCCAAAATCCCTAATTTCTACCCCCACCCCCGTTTATTGCCTCTCATTGGCCACCACAGTGTAACCAATCAAGTCCATGCAAGATGTTTTCATAACAGTCAGTCCAAGTGCAGTCTGGTATGCAGCTCCCTCTTTCTTCCAGCTGGGCGACCTTGAAGCAGCATCTCAAGAAAATACCATTTCTACTTTCTATTTCCCAAACATTCCTCCCTTCATCCCCCCTCCCCATAGTTCATGGCAGTCTGTCACTGCATAGCAGCAGAACCCAGCAAGCATAAAGTAGCAGCTCTGGTTCTTGTCACTATGATACAAAAAAGATGTTGAGACCCAAAAATTGGAGCAAAGAAGAACAACGGAAATGATAGGGCCAAAGTTCAAATCATTTTTTGACCTCAGCATCATGTCGCAGTAACAAGGCTGAAAGGAGATGGAATCAGGACTGAAAAGTAGACAGGGCTGTTGAATGACAGTTCAATTCAATTTAAGCTAAATCAATTAAAAGCCGTTCTGTTCATTGTTATCTACAAATCAGATTACAGTTTGTGAATCCCACAAAATCCAGATCAGATTTCTGAGCTTATTCAAACCATTAATTCAATGAATGAAATCAAGCTGAACCATTGAGGTGATTCAGAGAGAGAGAAAATATCGCACAGAGGAATCGAATTACCACACTGGTTTGGGAGTTGCTCAGTTCGATGCATTGAATCACTCGAAGGGATAAATTCAATATTTGAGCTTCAAGTCCAATCTTTGCACAGCCTTTTCTGGTTACATTTCCTCCTCTTTGTCAGGTTAAACTGAAGATACTCAGCCAGGATTTTCAGGGTTTGGGTGTCATCCGTGAGATGTGCAAGGCTAGTAGGCTGCTGAAAGTTTTAACGGCATGTCTAAAACTATGTTACACACAGGGAAATGTAACGGTGCAACGTCATACTTACTTAGCTAATTTTTTAAAGCCAATTGCTCTCTTCTTGGTGGGGGTGCCATTGACCCCTTTCCAGATGTGTGTGTTCCAAGGGTCAGGCTGGGAGGAGAGAGAAAGAATCCCAGTTAAAAGAGAAGAACTGAGTCTGAGGATGAAGTCAAGAATTTACCATGTCCAAACGTAGCTTCAATAGCTTTTCTGGCGTATTGTTCAGGAGTTGAATTCTAAATCATATGTGTGTCACTACACCAGAATTAATCTGGCCCTCTTGAATTAAGTAGAATCAGTAGGATGAGTCTAGGGTCACCCAATAGGCTGAATCATGAACTAATTAAATTCTAACCATACGCAAAAGGAATGGTTTTGTATTAACATATAAGCCACCAGGAGTCCTAACCAGGCAACTATTTCATTCTGTTAACTGTATATAATAATTGTTTTTTTAGTTACTGATTTGTATCTAGCATTTAACTGTTTTTACAAGAAGTTCAAGGTGGCAAACATATCCAACACAACTCATATTTTCCCCACAACAACCCTGTGACGTGAGTTGAGCTGAGAGAGAGGGACTGGCCCAAAGCCACCCAGCTGGCTTTCATGGCTAAGGCAGGACTAGAACTCCCAACCTTCTGGTTATTGGCTCAAAGTCACCCAGATGGCTTTCGTGGCTAAGGCAGGACTTGAACTCATAGTCTCCTGCTTTCTAGCCTGGTGCCTTAACCTCCAGACCAAACTGGCTTTCTAATGGTGCTTTGTTCTCTCTTGCCCCCAAGTGTAGTCTTAAGTGGCTCAAAATTTGTGTAACCTCAGTATTCTGAACTGAACCGGCAGGTGAGGAAACGGTACCTGATACTCAAAGGATGGTGTAAGCCTGTAGTTGAGCATTTCCTGGTGGAAGACAGGGGTGATGCTTCCAGACATGGGTGGGACAATCCATACCCAGTCAGCCGGACAACCTCCCCGGCAACGGTATTCATTCTCCATGTGTTTGATGAAGGACTCGGTGGCCGAGTGATGATCCACAATTGTCACCTTGTCACTCTGTAGAGAGAAGGAGGATTCTATAAGTGGCAGGAGGTCACAAAACTACATTTACCAAATGCAGGAAACAAACTTCCGAGTTCAATTCAAGGTGTTTATGGAGAGTCTCAGTTATCCGGATATGTGGTTGCCCCAAAAGTGCTTTTTCAAAAGGTGACTGGACTGAAGAAGAATTGAAGAAGCTTCTTGGACGAGAAGCAAAATGTCTTCCAAAAACCCCCCATCAAACACCAAAGTCCAGTTGCCTTTTGAAAAAGCACCTTTGGGAGAATTCAAGGTGTTGGTTATTGGAATGGAAGTGGCTCTTCCGTCCCAAGGTCCGTCCCATAGATTTCTACTGCTCTCCTCTCCTCTGCCTTCTGGGCATCCACACGTCAGGCACTGGACCCAGCTGTTCCTCTTCCTCATCAGCCACCTCCAGACCTGGGGGCAGTTGATTCTCCATCTGAGGGCTGATGGCCAGCCCAGGCTCCACTTCTCTCTCTCTCTCTCTCTCTCTCTCTCTCTCCCTCCCTCCCTCTCTCTCTCTCTTTCTGCACGCTCCATTCCCTCTTCTTCCCCCTCAGAGCTCTCAGGTTGCCCTGATGTTGACTCTGACTCCCACGCCTTCTCCTCTGATTCGGCTGCTGGAGTGGCTGGCAGCCCTCAGGCCACAACATAGCTGTAGTTTCACTTAGCGACCAGGTTGCCCATCTCAATTATGGCCAGTAAATGGGGATTACCTTTATAGGATTCCGAAGTTTATGTATTTCTAACAAATGGCTACTGTTTTATGAAATTATCTGCTGGTACCTGAAAACTGTACAGGACTGCAATGTTGATTTCCACTAGTGCTTGATCCTTCCAGAGAGACGAAGTTTTCCGCATGTCTAAATTCATCTTTTTAGCCACTTCCTGCAATGCACAAACAGCACAGGTTCATCACAATTAGATGTGAAATGACACTTGGGCTGGGTGAGAAATTTTTAGTAAGGTGGCTAGAAAAAAGGGCAGCCTTATCAATGCAGTAAGTTTTGAAAGAGACAAAAAAGAACTACCGATTGTGGTTTTGGTTTTGGTTATAGATATTATTAAGCAATATTCTCCTCCTCAATCTGATTTCAGCTAGATTGTTAGAAAATCATTTTTAACAGCCACAACAACAACAAAGCCATTTTTGTATCTGTATTTGCTTACTACTTTCTTCAAAGAATCTGGACGTCCAAAATTTAGTTATCTAACTTCATCATTCCTAAATTTACATCTAAGGTGGAACTAGAGGTAGCTTTGTTTATCCGCTGCAGCAAATGTTGTTCCTGTTGCTTTTTGAATATCTAAAACTATCAGAATCATTTACTGAGATGAACAGTTATAGAAATGAAAGGAAGGAAGGCAGAAAATAAGAAAGAAAGAAAGAAAGAAAGAAAGAAAGAAAGAAAGAAAGAAAGAAAGAAAGAAAGAAAGAAAGAAAGAAAGAAAGAAAGAAAGAAAGAAATCAGACTTGCAAGATCCTGTAAATATAGTCTCATGATAAAGTGGAATTATCTCACCTGGTTGCATTTTCTGTCTGGTCTACCTAGGAAGACTAAAATCAACCTTGCAATTTTTTTCTGTCTCTTTTATAGTGTTAGGGAAGCTCCTTTCTGAGTTTCTTTCTCTGCCTATTATGCAGTTGAAGGCTACTCCCTCTCGTATCTGATCCATCCCTTCCACGTCCCAAGGCCTTTCTCACACACCATTAGAGGCCATCACTAGTCTTTCTACTCTTGCGACCTCCTTGAAGGGTTTCAAAGATCCAGAAGCATGATTTGAGAGAAAAGGGCTACCTCTAGGATGTTGTAACGAGAGCTGTCACAGTAATCCCGGACTCCGATTTCGGTCCCCATGTACCAGCCGCTGAAGGGGCATGCAGAGAACTCCAACCCTCCAACCTCCAGCAGCATGTTAGAAACAGCTGGTAAGCCATACCATTGAAGCTCAAGGTCTTTAAACCACTCGAATCTGTTAAAGGAAAATAAAAATAAAAAGCAGGAACAACTAGGACAACGTCCGCTACAAAAGCTACAAAAGCTTACTCTACTTGAAGAACGTCTGGTTCAATTCTGAAGAACATTGTCTAGTTCTGGAGATCATTTAGCAATCAATGTGTCAATCAAAGAACTGTGGTGGCGCAGTGGTTAGAATGCAGTATTGCAGGCTAATTCACTGCCCACTGCCAACAGTTCAATTCTGACTGGCTCAAGGTCGACTCAGCCTTCCATCCTTTCGAGGTGGGTAAAATGAGGACCCAGATTCTTGGGGGCAATATGCTGACTCTGCAAACTGCTTAGAGGGGGCTGTAAAAGCACTGTGAAGCTGTCTATAAGTCAAAGTGCTATTGCCATTGCTATCAATCAATTATCAGTCCATCATGTTTTGAGGCTCACAGCAAATTCCATAGATTGATCTATAAAGTACATCATCCTAAGGTAAAGGTAAAGATTCCCCTCGCATATATGTGCTAGTCATTTCCAGCTCTAGGGTGCTCATCTCCGTTACAAAGCTGAAGAGCCAGCGCTGTCAGAAGACGTCTCCATGGTCATGTGACCGGCAGGACTAAATGCCGAAGGTGCACGGAATGCTGTTCCTTTCCCACCAAAGGGGTCCCTATTTTTCTACTTGCATTTTTTAAATGTGCTTTCGAACTGCTAGGTTGGCAGAAGCTGGGACAAGTAATGAGAGTTCGCTCCGTTACGCAGCACTAGGATTTTGAACCGCTGAACTGCCAACCTTTCTGATTGACAAGCTCAGCATCTTAGCCACTGAGCCACCACATCCCTACACATAACTAAACTACAACGCACAATAAAAAGCCAGAGAGTAAAGGAACCACCTTTAAGTTGGGTAAGAACTGACAGGGCGAAATGAGAAGTGTTTTCGACACATGCGAAAAGACAGGTCAACGGAGCTCTATCTTGAATGTCCCACAATATAATTAAGTTTGGGAACTTACCACCGCTTGATGTCAACTTAACGGGAGCCAAGAACACAGGCATTTGGACTTACTTGGGATGTCTAATGGGGACTTCCAACACTAACTCAGATGGGATCTCAAAAAGCTCAGGATCATTCCCATTGGCCTGGAGAAGGAGTGGTAGGACGTCGAATCGGCCATAGGGGGCTTTCCACCCTTGCTGTATGCAAATCTGCACCCAAAGGAAAAAAAATGTAGGCTTATCTTATTTTATTTATTTGATTTGATTTGTCAATCACTTACAAGATAATAGGTGTAAGTATAAACATGAGTAAGAATACAGGAAATAGGTACAAATAAATGGGGACAATAGGCACGATGGTGCACTTATGCATGTCCCTTACAGACCTCTTAGGAATGGGGTGAGGTCAATAGTGGATAGTTTGAGGTTAAAGGAGTGGAGGTTAGAGGATGTAACAACAGAGTCAGGTAGTGCATTCCAGGCATTGACCATTCTGTTGCTGAAGTTGTACTTTCTGCAATCGAGTTTGGAGCAGTTTACATTGAGTTTGTATCTGTTGTGTGCTCTTGTATTGTTGCGGTTGAAGCTGAAGTAGTCATTGACTGGTAGGATGGTGGATAGCCATGCAACAAGGCATAGATGCAAAACGTGAAGTCTACCAACATCTGTGTTGATCTGCAGAATGACCTTAAAGTGGCACTTTCTTTGCATCTGGGATGTTGGGGATGGTGGAACCTGAACTCATGGTCTCTATGTTGCTAGCTTGGTGTTATACACACTAGATCAAACTGGCCTTTTTCATAACTATTACCAAGTTTTTCATAACTACTACCAAGACTCTACAATCAATTTGCCGCAGAGAGTCCAATTTTATTTTCACGTGGCTTGGCAGAATCTAAATCAGTAGAAAAACCAACCAACCAGGATTCACATGCACCAAATTATATTCTATTTAATGTTCAGTAGTGAGCCCTGTTGGTTGTCACGGGGCACTTCTGTTCAAATTTTGCACGGTTTCCCCTGAATAAGCTTCAAATGCTCATCATTTATGAAGTGTTCAGTTGCTAAAAGAAGCTCTGGAATAAACATGAAGATCGTGTTAATTGGTGTCAAGCAGCCATTAAAAAAGCCACACACAGTGGTTGCAAAATCGAGTTGATAAGATGCTGGCAACGATCAAAACAAAAAGATTACAATTAAGCAGACTTGGATTCAGAAGTGTTTTTAAAAAACACATGCAGTCATTTTTTTTTTTAGCCCTTCGGGGTACTCCAGATGAGAAGCACAACTATGAGTTCTAATTATTAGTTCACAACTATGAGTACATTTTCCTCCTCCTCCTCCTCCTCCTCCTCCTCCTCCTCCTCCTCCTCCTCCTCCTCCTCCTTCTCTTTCTCCTCCTCCTCCCTCTTCCTCCTCCTCCTTTTCCTCCTCCTCTACCTCCTCCTCTTCCTCCTCCTCCTCCTCCTCCTCCTCCTCCTCCTCCTCCTCCTCCTCCTCCTCCTCCTCCTCCTCCTCCTCTCCCTTCTGAAACAAATCCCTTTTTCTTATCTGTGATCTGAGACATGCTTTATATACCAATGTTGAGTGTGCAGCCCCTCCTTCCTGTCTCCTAAGATCATTCTCACAGACCATTACAATAATGTAATGGATTTTTCCACCACAGGTACGCTTATTAGGATTCTGTACGTCCCTCCATGTCATGCACAAACCTCAGTCAGCTCCACATTGGCTGGGTCACCCAAGATGCTGCCGTCCGGTTGCTTATAGCCAGCATAACGGATGAGCTGGGAGTTCCACACTCGGAAATCATGTTTGCCATCAGTCCTCTGGGGGAAGATGGTGATGGCAGACCTGGGAGGACATGAGAAAAAGCGGGTAGAGTTTTAACATTCCTGATGGAAGGAAAGTGACTCTGTGGATAGGGCTTAGCCAGGTGATCCACAATCATAAGGAAATTGAAGTCTGTTTTTCTTAATGTCCTTCATGGCCTGACCGGACTGAGAATGTCAAGGATGCCAGCCAAAAACTTTCAGCTGGGCGCAGGGACAACACCACATTGTCAGGACCACGGAGAGTTCCATATAGGATGGATTCTCACATGTCTGTTTGGTGGAGTTACTTAATGAATGAATGAATGAATTCTTTTATTGGCCAAGTGTGATTGGACGCACAAGGAATTTGTCTTGGTGCAAATGCTCTCAGTGTACATAAAAGAAAAGATACATTCATCAAGAATCATCAGGTACAACGCTTAATAATAGTCATAGGGTACAATAAGGAATCAAATCATACTAGGAAACAGTCAATATAAATCGTAAGGATACAAGCGACAAAATCACAGTCATACAGTCACAGGTGGGAGGGGATGGGTGATAAGGACTGATGAGAAGATTACTAATAATAGTAGTGCACACTTTTTAAATAGTTAGACAGCGTTGAGGGAATTATTTGTTTAGCAGAGTGATGGCATTCAGGGGAAAACTGTCCTTGTGTCTAGTTGTTCCGGTGTGCAGTGCTCTATAGTGTTGTTTTGAGGGTAGGAGTTGAAACAGTTTATGTCCGGGATGTGAGGGGTTTTAAGGCTTTTGCTTTATAAAGTTGCACTCAGAGGCTGCAAACATCTCTGTGGAATTTTCCCTACATCTGCAGATAAGAAGACCCTTAAATGTTTAAGCAAAATATTTAAAAAATGCACCCACCACAGAGAAGCTGACCTTCAAATTGTTTGTATGTTTTAATGTTCACAAAAGGCTTATCCATGGGTAATCCACTTTTCATAATATTTTGGTTATGTATGCAAGTAGATATGAGATACACTACAGACACACAAAACTCAACCGGGCTAAACATTTGCTACCTCTGAGTATTTGGGCAAATGCCGTAGATATTGAAAGGTTATCTATGTTTCTGCGATGGAGGATGTCAAGGTTTTAAGACCAGGCGTGTCCAACCTTGGCAACTTGAAGACCTGCGTACTTCAACTTCTAGAATTGAAGCATGGCTGGCTGGGGAATTTTAAGGGTTGGAAGTCCACAGGTCTTCAAGTTACCAAGATTGGACACCTCTCTTTTAGACAATCTCGTTTGGTCCTGAAAAACAAATTGGAGCTGTATCCCTGGAACGTCTTGGTTTGCTTGAATGTGGAGTTCTTTTGTTTTCGTTTTTCTTTGCAAATAGTGTTAAGCTCATTTTAGCTCTTACCGTACTATTTTTCTTGGTTTTTTTCCACCTTGAAATTAAAGGAAGCCTGGTTTCCAATTTACAGCAATTACAGCAATTCAACAACTCTGCTGGAGACGCGTTGGGAGAGGGAGGTAAAGAAGGGGATATGAAAGCCACCAGCAGCCATGGGTCTCTGTAAGGTTACTACCTCTTGTTCTGCAGTTCCTCTGGGATCCTTTGTACACTGTCAATTCGAGTGGAAAATCCCTTCCTTTTTAGATTAGAATGGTTGGATTTTCATTTTGTTTTTTATTTTATTTGTTTGCATCACGCCTTGATTATTTTTACAAGTAACTTAAGGTGGCAACCATGTCTACCCCACTTTCTTCCTCCTAGTTTCCCCACAACAACAACCCTGGATGGACAGACAGACAGATGGACAGACAGGCCCAACCAGCTTTCATGCCTAGGGTGGGACTACAATTCACTGTCTCCTGGTGATTGGCTCAAAGTCACCCAGCCAGCTATTATGGCTAAGGTGGGACTTGAACTCATGCTCTCCTGCTTACTAGCCTAGTGCCTTAACCACTAGACTAAACTGGCGATGGAAGATTTTAACTTGCTCCGTTTTCTGTTGAGCTTCCCAGCTCAGGTAAGATAACAAAACAGGCCTTGGTCCAGTGCCATCATGCCATTTGCGCCTGAACACACACACACACACACACACATATGCAAACATACACACACACTCACACAGGCACACATACCTGAGGTTCCCCTTGTTCGTGGCATATTTGATGTGGTTGCAAATGTAGTTGAACATGCCATGAGCTGTGGTACAGTCCCGGGCATCAAAAACCTGGAAAGAATTCAAACAGAAGAGTTGGAATTGCAATCTAAGGAACAACAAAGACAATGAAGGCCCGGGTTGGCTCTTGAAGACACAAAGATAGTGTGTAAATGTATGCGTTAAATCGTACGTTTGAAATCTGAATGGCTGTCATGTCTACTAGCAGAAAGATTTAATTTCTCCAGATACGGAAGGCAGGGTTAGACTCAAAAGGTTTTAAGATCCTGAAGGGCCAATTAGAAAAACTGTGTAAAAGAAGGAAAAAAATTGACAGTGCTTCCACTTTATATCTGGAGCTGGCTCAGAAAGTAAAACCCTAATAAACCCTTAAGCAGGCTTAAAATGAGTTCAGTTATTCAGGTAGGGAGAGAGAAGCTCGATTTTCGCATGTAAATCTCCCGAAAGCACTTTATTGGGGATTAAACATTTGCGCTGAAAAGATGTTTGCCACTCCGACATGCCTCCAATTCAGGAAGATTTCTCTTCCTTTCAGTTTAATGAAAAGAAACGTACGAGGCAGGCGTAGCTGCTTGCAAAAATCCTGAACTTAAAAATATTTGGACGGGTTTTTTTTTTAATCAAATCCCCCTCAAATCTTCTGGGAGAGTTTGACTGGAGCCTTCGGCCTCCTTGCAGACTTCTTAACTGCGTGCCACTTTGCCAAGAATCCTCATACCTGCTCAGAATAATCTGTACTTGCTGAAGTACATAAGCACGTTAGCTGGCCACGCCCATGAATTCCTCACCTGCAGCTTGGACCACTGGATTCTCCCCACGCAACGAGAGGCGTTGCGCCATGCGTGCTTAGCTCCATAGATCAGCTCCGTATCACGCAATTGGTAAGTGTCCGTCGTTTCTATCTCTTTGGTGACTTCCACCAGCCTTTCCATGTGAGCTTTCGAGCCAGACCTGTCGGGCCAGAGATAAAACAAAGAGGTGAGACATCATTCATGCCATCGTGGTGGGCACAGTGGACTAGCACAGGGCAGTCCTGCTCCAAGCAAAACCTTTTTTTCTCCAAAGGAGAACAGGCAAAGCTGGCAATTATCATAATCACAATTAGCACAAGGAGATTCAGAATCAGAAGAATAGAGTTGGAAGGGACTTCGGAGGTCTTCTAGTCCATCCCTCTACTCAAGCAGGAGATGTTATGCCATTTTAGACAAATGGCTGTCCAGTGTCTTCTTAAAAAAACTCCAGTGATGGAACCCCCACAACTTCTCAACATCAAGAAGTTTTTTCCTTAATTCTAGCCTGGATTTCTCTTTGATAGGTTTCCTTCTGGTCATTCTTGTCCTGCCCTCAGGTGCTTTGGAGAATAGATCGACCCCCTATTCTCTGGGACAGCACCTCAAGTACTGGAAGACATCTATCGTGTCATTTCTAGTCCTTCTCTTTATTAGACAAGATGTTCCCAATTCCCGTAATCATTCGTCATATGTTTTAGCCTCCAGTCCCCTAATCATCTTTGTTGCTGCTCTCTGCACTCTTTCTGGAGTCTCAACATCTTTTTGGTATCATGGTGACCAGAAAGGGATGCAGTATTCCAAGTGTGATCTCCCCAGTACAAAACAGTGCTATCCCTTCACGCAATAATAGATAATTTTATTTATTTATTTTGTCAAGCTATTACAAGATAACAGGTATAAGTATAAACATAGTTATGAATACATGAAATGGATACATATAAGAAAAATTAAAAGAATCAATAGGACAGGGATGGTGGGCACCTTGGTGCGCTTATGCACGCCCCTTAGAGACCTCTTCAGGAAAGAGGTGAGGTCAATAGTAGACAGTTTAAGGTGAAAGTTTTTGGGGTTTGGGGAAGAAACCACAGAGTCAGGTAGAGTATTCCACACACTGCCCACTCTGTTTCTGAAGTCGTATTTCCTGCAATCAAGTTTGGTGCGGTTTACCTTGAGTTTGTATCTGTTGTGTGCTCTTGTATTGTTATGGTTGAAGCTGAAGTATTCATTGATAGGTAGGACATTGCAATTAATAATTTGATATACTATATTTAGATCGGACTGAAGGCGGTATAGTTCTAGGTTTTCTAGGTCTAGAATTTCAAGTCTGGTGGCATAAGGTATTCTGCAACGAGTAGAGGATTCTATTGGAAATTCTCTTGGAAATTTTAGCTTCTTGGTTTCATCTAACTCTGGCTACCTTCAAAACACCTTCTAAACACTCATTAACATGGGGAGAGAAGATTCTGAATGTCCAGAGATGCTTCTTTTCTAAGTGGTGCTTTAGGTCAAACAAATTTGCTTTACTAATGGCTTACCGGGAGGGGCTCAGAACACTGAAGGAACATGCCGTAATATTTCAGTTCATCTCAAGGCTTTTATCAACAATTCTTTAGCCTCTTTTAATGTAAGAGCAATTCGTTGGTTGAAAATAAATACAAAAAGAACTAAAAGCAATATTTGCCAAATGAATCATAACAAGCACAATGAGAAATCCATTCGAAGCATCAAGAATAATGAAGTACTTTATCTCCAGTTTTTCAGACAACATTCAACTCCTTATTTATGGAGCTAAATCCTCATTCCTTCTCCAGAAAGTTATCCCGACCTAGGGCTCTCCAAACTTGGTAACTTTAAATCTTGTGGGCTTTAATTCCCAGAATTCACCACCCAGCATGGCTGCCTGGGGAATTCTGGGAGGTGAAGTCCACAGGTCTTAAAGTTGCTAAATTTGGAGACCTCTGTCCTACCCAAATGTGTTCTGCAGAGAAGAGATAATATTTTAACAAATTAAGGGCAGATTCATGCCAGACTGATATAATTAACCAGGAATATCCTACCTGCCATCTATTTTAAAGACCCATCCTTCATTTGTAAGTAGCCACCCGTAGCGAATGGGACAAGTTGGTGCAGGATTGCCCATGGTCAAATACCTTGCAGAAATCATGACAGTTCCTGGGGCAAAATTCTCTGCCCCAGGATTTGCAGAGGCCCTCAACTTACCTCTTGATGGAGGAGTAGTACTGGTCAATGAATTCTTTGGCAAGGAGGAGGAGCTGATCCTTCGTCCGGACTTCTTCCGGTTTACGGACATGCTGAGAAGGCATCATGATGGAGCCCATACAGATCTGTTCACTGCAAGGGGTTACCTGAAAAGGGAGAGGTAAGAAGTGGAAAGGCACCTGGTCAGGATTCCATTCACCCGTTGAAGGAGATCAAAGAATACAAGTGGATGTGCAGCAGATGCTCCAGGCAGGGGTGGGATTCTACCAGTTTGGACCAGTTCGTGTGCAAATTGGTAATTCTGGCCCCGTCCATCCACTCTTGCACTTTCCTGTGCTTTATTTCCTGTTTTTTTTTTTTTTAGCGCAGCTGATTCGCGCGGTTTGCCACGCATCAGCTATTTTACTCACTAGGGATGGAGCAGAAGGTAAGCAATTGAGTTTAGAATGGGCTTTTTAAAATGTTGAGCACACACACACGAAGCTCACCGAGCAGGTTGTTACCCCAGTTGAATCGCACCACTGGCTCCAGGGACGGAACAAGTACAGAGACAAATGTTTATTTATTAATTAAATTTATATGCCGCCGTTCTCACTGCCGTGGGACCCTGAGGGGCAGAGACATGCTCTGAATCGCATTCTGGGGAGAGAGAGAAGCTCCCTGAGGATGGAGTTCGAATCTCTGGTCCTGGTGACTGAACCCGACTGGATTCTGCAACGAGTCATGTTGTTTCTGGGTTTATAAAAACAGGAGCATTGATGGCTAAATGAACCGTTTGGCTAAATTAAAAGAATGAAAAGGAAAGAACAGCTTTGCTTCTCCTTGGAAACCACTTCTGGATTTTGTGCGATGATGATGATGGTGGTGATGGTGATGAAGATGACGGTGATGAGATGCTTCTAAGAAGGAACTAGCCGAGGTGGCTAAAATGAACCGCTTTAATCAACAGAAAGAACACATCCAACTTTGTTTCTCCTTGGAAACCGCCTCTTGACTTTGTGCTTGAGATGGTGGGGGAAAAAAATGAAATGTTGACTTTGGGTTTTGCTGATTGCACAGGTTTGTTGTTAGAAATAGCTAGTATATATTAAGAGCATAAAAGTAAAAAGTTGAGCTGTGATATCGTTACGTTATTCTACTGCACTAAAAAGAGTCAACAGAGGTTTTCGTTTTTTCTCCTTTTCCCTAAACCTTTTTCTTTCCTCCTTTCCCACTATTTTTTCCTTTGGATTTTATACTTTGATGAGTTTCATTTAAAAAAAGTAATAATAATCAGAGAAGCCTCTCAGAGGCAAAATCTTCATGCTCTTAGAGTTTAACACATCTCTTTGGCTGCCTACGAAATATAAACCACCTGTATCTGCAAGAATCACACTGCAAGAAAACAGTCTCTCTCGCACGGATATTATGAAAGAGAGAGGGAGGGAAAAATATATCAAAATTTCTATTCTGCTCTTTCCCCTATTTGATTTTTTCCTTCTTAAAATTGGAATGTGGAAATCAATGCTCCTTTTGTAACTTTTCTTCCGGTGGTGGCTTTCTTTTCTGCACTTTTCCCTCGCCCCAGTCCCTTTTTCTTGAAAAGCAAGAAATGTGATTCTAAAAAGCATTCTGCGCTATACATTTTTATGAAAGCTGCGTGAGATGGGTGGCTTTTGTATCTTTCTTTCTTAATGATCTACTCCGGGTGGAATTTGCCCGCTTCACAGCTGCTGCACCCTAGATGGATGGTTTTTAAATGGTGCCATCCTTTGCGACCTTCTTATTTGCATCTTAAAACAACCTTAGCTACAAAATAATAATAATGCCTTGACGATCGCATCTTCCCTAGGTCTACGTTCCCTCATTTATTCGTGTTTTCTTTTTCGCTCCCGGTTTCATTGCTGGCGTTTTGCTCATCTATCGCACATGTGTGCTCAGGCGCATTGACTGAACGGCAAAGGAGCATTTTTCTGCGAACAGCCGCATATCATCAAGCATTGAGTTTCTTTGTGGCTGACATTCTTCCACGTGGCACCATCAGAAAGGACCTTGATATGAATGGCGGGGGTATAGACGCTCGCATTGAATTGCCACTCTGCAGAGGCTTATCTACACACAGGAGAATAAATACGACAACCGGAGGTAGGGAACCAAAGTGCAAATTAGTCACTTGGCGATTCCAGAATGAAATATTCAGACATTTTGATGAAGAAGGCTTGAATGCAGAAAGGAGGAAACGAAACACACGGAGGGAATTGATCAAAGAAGGAATGGAAGAAGTCAAACAAGGAATGATAATTGTTCCCGTTTGCAGCTCTATCCAGAAAAGAACATCATTAATAATGGAGTTGGAAAGGACCTTGGAGGTCTTCTAGTCCAACCCTCTCAAGCAGGACACCCTATACAATTTCAGAACAATGCTTGTCCAATCTTTTCTTAAAAACTTCCAGCCTTGGAGCATCCACAACTTCTGGAGGCAAGTCATTCCCATTAGTTTATATTGTTGTCACTCTCAGGAAATTCCTCCTTAGTTCTAAGTTGCTTCTCTCCTTGATTAGTTTCCATCCGTTGCTTCTTGCAATGAATAGACAGCGTAGACATTTGCTTTGAAACCCTTTTGCTCCTCATGCCCTCCAGACAAGATCTGATCTCACTTCTGATGCTCCTCGGACCATTTTCCCATCATGCTTTTTTTTGAAGCGGTGCCATTATGGGAAATTTAATGGGTGATGGATCCGAATAACAACCACAACAGGGAAAATCGGGATTTTGTGGGCATCTTAACAGCCACAATGGCATATGACCATAATTCTGGGCTACAGTACTAGCAATAGCATTTAGACTTGTATACCGCTTCACAGTGCTTTCCAGCCTTCTAAGCGGTTTACAGAGTCAGCTTCTTGCCCCCCAACAATCTGGGTCCTCATTTTACCCACCTCGGAAGGATGGAAGGCTGAGTCAGCCTTGAGCCAGTCAGGGTCGAACTCCCGTCAGTGGGCAGAGTTAGCTCACAATACTGCATTCTAACCACTGTGCACCATGGATGGATGGATGGATGGATGGATGGATGGATGGATGGAAGGAAGGAAGAAAGGAAGGAAGGAAGGAAGGGGAAAAGGAAGAGCAAAGCAATAGCAATAGCCCTTAGACTTATAGACCACTTCCCAGTGCTTTCCAGCCCCCTCTAAGCGGTTTACAGAGTCAGCCTCTTGCCCCCAACAATCTGGGTCCTCATTTTACCCACCTCGGAAGGATGGAAGGTTGGAACTCCAGACTGTGGGCAGAATTTGCCTACAGTGCTGCAGTCTAAGCACTGTGCTATCAGGCTCCATTGTGCCATTTGGTTGTTAACTCAAGGATTACCTGGACCACCTCCCCTATCTTCTCCAGTCAACCTTCCTTCTCTTTAAGGAAAAAGTCTGCAAACTTGGCAAGTTTAAGACTTGTGGATTTCAACTCCCAGAATTCCTGAGCCAATGTGACTGGAAGAGGGATTCTGGGAGTTGAAGCCCACAAGTCTTAAAGCTGTCAAGTTTGAAGACCCCTGGTCTAAAGTTAGTTGCAATCTTTGAGAATGAACCCTAGTTGCCTTGAACTGGCCGCTTCACTCCACTGATAGTAGAGCCCTTGAGAAAAGCTTGTTTCAAGGAGGTTCCCTTGGAAATGGACCCTAAACGTTTGGAAGAATCCTCAAGCAGCATCTCACTTACCATGGAGCACTTCAAATGCAAAGTGTCATTGAGCACAGAGCCAGTTTCCCAGTTCTTCACTTTGGCAAAACGCGGGCACTTGGAAGGGCTTCCGTTCACCACATTTTTGGTAGGCGACTGCTGGCCAGAAGGGACCTGAGCAAACAAGGATAGAAAGAGAATCATGATCTACAGGAGATAGTTTGGTCCAGCCCAGCTACTCAGAAAGAGGTTGATATCAGGGTTGGGGAGGTAGAGCAGATAGGCAAGCTCCTTGGGCTGAGGGTATGTGTGCAAATGTGGAAGCGGGTGGTGGATCCATTCATGAAAGGGAGGTCTCAACCAGTTACCAAACCCCCATTTCATAAAAGACCAACTAGCTCCTCACCATCCTGGAAGGATCTTCATGGAACTCCAAAACATTCCTGTAAATTAATATGTTTGTGTGTGTGCTTGTGTGTTGGAATTTGGATAACTTGTGGTCGGTCTGTCTGTCTATCTATCTATCTATCTATCTATCTATCTATCTATCTATCTATCT